TAACACAGGCTACATTTTATACACCTGTGGGTTAGCCAGAACAGCAGAATAACAAACATGGCACTTACTAGGATAGATACCATCTTAATTTTTAATTATTTTTTATTAATATTTTCAATTGAAAAGTTATATACATTTGTGGGGTACAATGTGTTGACTTTGTGTCTATATATACACACACACATATATATACACACACAATATGCAAAGATTGCATCAAGATGCTGAATATATCTACCACCTCACTTATCCGTTTTTGTGATGAGATATTTCAAATTTACTCTCTGAGCTATTTTGAAATACAGAATACATTATTATTGAGCTTAGTCACCCTGCTGTGCAATAGATGCATGTCTATCTGCTAGATGACATAGATGCATTTTAATTTGATCTTCAACAGCAGAACACAAAGGAGATTACTCATCACCTCTCTTTTTCCTAGTTGAAGAAAGTGAAGTTTCGAGTTGAATGACTAGATGGAGGCCACACAGCTGGAAAGGGACAATGACCATTTTGCAGTTCAGGTCCACCGGCTTCCAAAGCCCAGGTGTTTTCTTCCACACTGAGAAATCTTACAAAGTGGATGAGTGTATTGCACCGGAAACCAGGGGAAGATCTTTTAATTTGATTCTTTACAAGAACAAAGAAAAAGTTATCTGAGCAGCTCGAACAAGCAAATTGATGATTAGGACTTTAACATGTAAAGTCAATGATTTGTATCAGAATAATACCCAAGGATAAAAGCAGATGGGGGGATAAATGCCGGTTTTCTTCCCTGGGTATCAGTAGCCCCTTTATCCTGGGAAGACAAGGGCAGTGGCTCTTCCGTGATTGCTCTCCAGGTTCTTCCCTTCTATCCTTTTTCCTCAACTTGTTGGGATGTTCCTAAACCCAAAGGCTCAACTCTGTTTAGATTACAAGTTCCTTAGAGATAGAGGTTGTCTCTCTCCTTTCTGTATTCCTGGAGCCCTGGACAGTGCTGGCCCATGAATGGGTATATCACTTGGCTCTATTTCCTGCCCACCTATAACACATGCTAGTTTCTAGAATCAACTCTGATTTGTCTTTTTCAGGAGGTCATGCATGCCTGCTTTTTGCAGCTCAGATCTTAAAGATCTGGCTTTCTGCTTTAACGACCCATAGTTCAGCAAAATAGATTTCTAGAACTATTGCTATTTTAATATCTGCCTTTGAAGCAATCGTATAGAAAACCCAAAATGGTATCATGCCTGGGCTTCAGAACCCACTGCTCTCTGGGTGTTTTTTTGCTGCTCAGCACCATAACAATGGGAAGAATGTGGCCATAGAACTCCAACCCTGAGGGTTCCTGCAACGTTTTCCTATTGGACTAATGCCCCATTCTCTTTTGTAGTTTTGTCTCCCTCCATAGAAATATTCCACTGGCCTCTATGCTTAACTTAGCCAGGCAGACTGAACTGACACCAAGTGGTGGATTTATTTTAGTGGCCTTTATTTTAGTTAACATACAAGCCCATGTTAACTGACATTGGAAAACCACTCTATTACTTGCTCCTAACCTATTTACTCCTAGGTTATACAAAGTCCTAACAGCTTTCGTATGTCTCTTTTCTAACTCAGCATACTGAATGCATCACATTGTATGTTGACAAAGATATTTTAATTTGATTCTTTATAAGAACAAAGAGAAGTAACATCTAACACCCAGATAGTAAAGGAGGAAGCAGAAAAGCTGTTAAAGACAAGCTCAAAGACTTGAACATGGTAGTCTGGGACCATTCCATGCGTCTTGAGAAGCCAAATAACTTCTGAGACATCCCTCTAGTAACTGAGCATCATAGCTCAATAATCGATATCCAAAATGATGACTCAAAATCCAAAAATCATTCACTGTTCAGTTGGCTCTGAATTGCAGTATATTTAACATGACAAAAAATATGAACTATGTTTTAGAAATGTGTCCAGTTAAAATGCTAGTAGTTTCCCAAGGAAAATAAACTTAGTTACAAAATGTTTGCTTTGCATATGTATGTTACCAGACAGTTGTGAGTAGTCAAGGGTGTTATGTGTGTGCTTGCATGTATGTGATAGAGAAAGACACACAGAATTGTATGTTTGTAATTTTTTATACTAATAAATTGTATTTTAACATTTGCCTATTTTAACAGAAGCACATTCATTATCCCATTGAAGGACATAAACAAACCATTTATTCCATATGACATGGAAACCTTTGGTGGCATAAGGTAGCAAGTGGCATGCAGTGGCACATTAAGGAACAGTTAAAATGATTCCTTGTTACCATGGGGCCAACACATTTGGTGTTCTAATGACTTATTTGTGCCCTTGTTGTCCCTTGATAGTTCCACAGGACTCCTGAGTTGAGACTATACCCAAGGACCCTGGACTTACCTTTTCCTCTCATAATTAAAAGATTCTACTCTTCAACCTTACTTTATGTTTTAAAATGTTGATCAGTTTCAAGATGGGTTACACTGAAAAATGAAGGGCTAACTCAAATTAGACTTAGAGATAAGTCAAATTAACCCCTTTATGTCTGAGGTTGCAACTTTTTGAATTTTTGCAGTAATTCCCACATGCTTAGCGTTCCAATAACGGAACACTAGGCATAAATAGGTTTAAGTACAGAAACTTGGTCAGTGTCCACTCCTTCATTCTGGTAAATGTCTCAGAAAATGCTTAAGACAATAAAAGGTTTAAGTTCTGAAGTGACATGCCCTAAAGCCTTATTTATTATGCTAAGTGAGTAAACAAAAAAAATTGTTCGATATTACAAGAACAAAATCTTCCCAGAGAATAGAGCCCTCTCTGGAATCAGCAGGTAATAATGCAGCCTGCTGCTATCTGCAGGCATTTCTCAGCCTTTCTGGAAAATGGCACGCATCATCCTTTCCACTTATATTTTGCCACCACTGATGGCCTGTCAATTCTAATGAAAATATTCCATCCTAAGGTGACAGGAATTACATACATCATCTCTTTTTGGCTTTCCTTTCTGTCTATCAAACTGTACTTTAAAGGAACTGATTATTAAAGCATTATATAAGTATGTAAAATATATTGAAAGAGAAATAATGTTTCCATTATGTACAATGTATACAGTAAGAAAGGCTGAAGTGTGATGACACATGAGAAGTGGTAAAAGGTATTTTTCATTGCTTTCATTTTAGAGAATAAGAAAGCAAAATTATTTGAAATATACAGCATTAGGAGATTTTTCAGCTTCTCTAATATCTAGCATTATTTATGGCATATTTTAAACTAAATAGAACTGTTTTGAAAGTTAATATAGATATTATTTTGAAGCTATTTTATATTAGCTTTAATAATTAATTTGTGCTTTTTTGAAAAGCTTGTACAAGGTCAATATTTGCTCTGCTGTTTATCTTTTTCACATCTCTGTTCTTTGGAATCACTCCTAACTCATGAGAATTCATAAATTATTTTTAGGCTGGGCACGGTGGCTCATGCCTGTAATTCCACTTTTGGAGGGATTACATTCTGTAGCATTCTGGGAGGCTGAGATGGGCGGATCACTTGAGCTCACGAGTTCAAGACCAGCCTGGGCAACATGGTGAGACCCTGTCTCTAAAAAAAATCTAAAAATTAGCCAGCTTTGATGGTGCTCTCCTGTAGTTCCAGCTACTCAGGAGGCTGAGGTGAAAGGGTTGCTTGAGCTCAGAAGGTAAAGGTTGCAGCGAGCTAAAATGACAGCACCACACTCTAACCTAGATGATACAGCCAGAACTTGTCTCAAAACAAAACGAAACAAAATCTTAAACCATTTTTTAATTTATCTGAGCAACTGACCTATGCATGATGTATAGTTATTGCAGAAAATGACCAAGAAATTATGTTAACAACTTAAATATGTAACATTCAAAAGCAATAAAGCTAAGACTCCTGGAAATTCTGACTGAAATAAGCTAAAGGAAGATTGAACTGAACCTGAGAAAAATAAGCAATAAAAGTTGATTCTTTGGCATTTAATTTTTTTTCAAGAGAAAAATCACATTCTTCCCAGTGGAATCACTTCACATGCAGAAATAGTCTATAGAAGAGTCTAAGAATGGCCAGAGGTATACTGAGTCACCCGCCATGAAGGTGCATGCTCAGCTCCACCTTTGTGCTTCAACTTGTTTTATAACACAATTAAAATTGAACTATGAAAAATATCTTTAAAAGTTACATTTTCAAACAGGAAAAAAAATCTTGGCCCTTCTTAAACTGACACTGATATTTGATCTCGATGTTGGCCCTTTCTGTACAACTGAAGCTTTACAGGTAAAAAATACAGGTTACGGATAGGACACTGTTTTGTGCTGACATAACGTGGAATGGCTGATCATAAATTTTTTTGCTTGAGGTGAAAATTGTTATCGTCAATGATTTCAGTAGTCCCTTTAAAAATTAGTAATTAAGAAATAACAAGAGTTCTAAAACAGCGAATCTGGGAAGAATTGGTGTGTGTAGTAGAATATGGTGATAAATATTGGTTATTATTATGAGAAAATAAGATAGCCTTTTATGGGAAGTTTGTGGAATATCTTATTGCTTTGTAGTCTAATATTTTTGTGCTTTTATTGAAATATTTTAAACTGAGACAAAAGTTTATACTTTCATAAGCTAGAGATGTGCAAGTTAAGACTCCCTTAATTTGTCACATTCTAAGATAAATGCAATGATCCAAAAAAATATTTTATGTTAGCTATATACCACTTATATGACAACTCTGTTGCTGTAAGATAAATGCATGACCTAAAAAAAGTTTATGAGGTTAGATTTGCTAAGTATATATTTATTGTATAACATAGGTACTAAAAACTCTTAATGTAGGCTAGTTGAAAAGTTAAAACAGCTTGGACCTTTAAGTGACACACACACACACACATACACACACACAAATGCAGACACACACCTCCATTTTTAGCCTTTTCATGAAGTTTCTTCAGATGGAAAAACAAAACAAAACAAAACAAAACTGTTTAAAGACTTAGTCTATGTGGTGGAGTTGCTTTCATTGTATTTTAACCAAGCCATTGTTTTCCTCTGTTTCAGGATCTAGATTTCTCATCACATCCACGGGAGCCTTGTATATTAAAGATGTACAGAATGAAGATGGATTGTATAACTATCGCTGCATCACACGGCATCGATACACTGGAGAGACGAGACAGAGCAACAGCGCGAGACTTTTTGTATCAGGTAAGAACTCATCAAGACTCTGTCTGCTATGTCTGCTATTTCTTTGTTAGTGTCTTGAGACAACTCAATCAAAATTGTGGAATGTTGCCACTAAAATGAAGCTTTCAATTCCCTTTCCAAAATATTTTAGTAATTTTAAAAGTCTTTTAAACCAATATGAATACAATTTCATAGAAATACAGAGATTCAGAATGCAGTCATTTCACATTTGTCAAACCAGTAATAGACCCATTCACATGATGATGCATTAGCACTTCAGGGAACACTTTGGGAGTGGAAGATCAATCTCAGTATTAGAAAATCAAATGCAAAATACTCAACCTTTGCCTTTGTAGCCGAAAAATATAAAATTGCTCCCCATGGTAAACATTCTATAAGGTTGTAATTGTAAGATGGAAGTGACCAAAGGTTGCTTGCTATCAGTGTTTGAGAAGTACCTTACGTGTAGTAATGTTTTATGGTAAGAAGTAATGGTGACCTGTTGAACATTGGGATAATTTAAAACATCACTGCCTGAACACCCACTTTTTCTTTTTTTTTTTTTTTTTTTTTTTTTTTTTTTTTTGAGACAGAGTCTTGCTCTATCACCAGGCTGGAGTGCAGTGATGCAATCCCTGCTCACTGCAACTTCCGTTTTCCAGTTTCAAACCATTCTCCTGCCTCAGCCTCCTGAATAGCTGGGACTACAGGCACACACCACTACACCCGGCTAATTTTTTGTACTTTTTAGTAGAGACAGGGTTTCATCATGTTAGCCAGGATGGTCTCAATCTCTTGACCTCGTGATCCACCCACCTCAGCCTCCCAAAGTGCTGGGATTACAGGCATGAGCCACCGCACCCAGCCGAACACACACTTTTTGTACTTGATAATATACTGTCAGGATTTTTTTCTTTATCATTTACATCTTCAAAATAGCCAATAGGCTTTCAAGGTCCAGCAGAAATACAAGTAAGAGTTAAGTTAGTTTTCCTTTGAACTCGTAAGTATTTTTTTTTACCTGTTCTTTTTCAAATCAACTGTCACTTTCTCCCTTGCTTTTATAGTTCTTATGTCTTTTGGGGGAAAATAAATAAGAAAATGAATAATAACCATCATCTTAGTCCATGGTAGCTTTAAGGAGAGGACAATATTCTACTTGTTCAGAAAACTCTAGAAAAAGTCCTGTTTGCATTAAAGAGAAACTTTCTAATGGCATATTCAGAAAAGAAAGGGGAAGGATTTGAGGTAGGAGGGGAATCCTGGTATGCAATTAATTTGGGCTTAGCAAAATAAGTAAGTAAGGATTTCTCCCTCCAGAAGATGATATAATTGGTGATGATCTAAGAGCCCATCTTTCTGTTTCAGGTGTCATTTTTTATCTTCATGCTGAATCATAAAGTGTTGATTTTTAAATTTATCTCTTAGGGTTGGAAAGACGAGTTGACGTTTCTTAATCCCAAGATGTTTGTTTATTCTTTTGTTTTGGAGTAATTCTATCCATTCAAAAATGGACAGAAATAGTCATGAGCATTTGGTCACCATGAAGGTCATGGGAGTCCCAGGATTGCCTAGTGAGCACTGGAAAAGAGAGAAGTGAGAGTATCAGTGTATAGTCTAGCCAGGGAATATCATACACTAAGACACCTGCAGAAGAATAGCCAAAGAATAAGACTGAACAGTCAGGGCTAATGGTGTAGGTGAAGACAGGGAGGTGATAGGTGCTAGGGGAGGGGAGGGATCCACAGCATTACATGCCATCAAAAGGTTCATATGACAGTCTACCATATATGGAAAATAACTCAATATTTTTGTCATTGAAATTTTAATAAAGCATTTGAGGGAGAACTTGTTAATGCTAAAAGGTGAGAATGTACACACTGAATGCACAATGCTATTCTAACACGCCAAGCTTTGAAGGAAAAGAGAAATGGATCTCATTTTAACTTAGATTTAACTATATTTAAAAATGTACATCTGGAGTTTGGATCATGTGGAAAGATGTTGGTGTTTGACCCCAAACTCCTCCTGAAACCAACACAGATAAAATAGGATGACAAAGAAAAAAGTACACGGATAGCACCTTCAACACAACTGGATTACTACCAACAACAGGACCAGCAGCAGAAGTGGAAGACGGTGGAAGTGGACAGCCCATTGGGCTACGGTAGTGCCAGAAAACTGCAAATAACCAACAGGCATCCATTTTCAAAAGCAGAGGAGCATTATTTGAGTGGAAGCCTAGGAAAATATGTCTTAGAGTCCTCACCACACTGGGATAGAACTGCGTGAGGTCTGGGTTGGAGATGAGTTCAAAGACCATGAAAGTAGCCCGTAATGATTGCACAGGCCCAAGGTGATCTGTGTCCTTGAAGACAGCAGAAGTACTCAGCAAGTACTCCTCTTAGAAGAACAGAGACTCACCCTGAGGGGAACAGCTGGATTTAGAAAGCAAACTGAGCCAGTGTGGAATACTAACAGTAACAGAGACAGAAAGAACAGGAACCAGAGGAGGCCCTAGAGAATTCTGTCCTGTGAAACACTGCACAAGAAAATACAACACACGCACAGCCTTAGAATGCAAAAAACAGAGTGTTCTAGGAAACAGACGGCTAAGCATGGAAACCCATACAGCTCTGAGAGATGTGCTAAATGTTGAGTCTTTAAGTAATATCAAGGGAGAAGGCTGGAAAAACATACTCATTTCATCCTCTCCTGCAGGAACCTTCTCCTAATTAACTAAGAATCTCTGTTGTATTGCAAAATGAAACAAAAAGGGAAATGATTTAACCCAACTTTATCACAGGAAAAAGGATGAAAATTAACCAAGAAAAAGTTTTGATTAGAAGTAACTACAAAAAATACTGACAGAAATCATATGAAAACTGTATTTTTTATTTGAAATGACTAAAGCTTTGAAAGAGAACTATAAATCAGAAATAAAATATCTCAGAAAAAAATGATAACACAAATCTGTGAAACAGTAAGTGGTATATTTTAGGAAAAAGTTAGAAAAATGAGTTCTAAAATTAAAATTAAATTAGAAGGAACACATCAGAGGGTAAACATAACAGAAAGCTCAATATGGGAAATTAAAAATGGTAAGAAATAAGGAAAATAGAGATAAAAATGTATAGATGTCTGATAGAGATGATGAAACACATGTATAACTAATTTCTCTTAAAAAGAAAACCAAGCAATTGATCAGAATAAGTTATAATAATGAAACACTAATTCAATAAAAGACCTGTCATAAAAAAGAATACATATAAAATACATATTAAAATGGCACAGCTGTACCTGGAAGAATGGACCCAGAATGGTCAACATGCAATGTGGTCTAATAAAATTTGTGATCTGTAATTTTGAAGAAGTTTAATGTGTTAATTTTTTTCTGTTGTTGCTTGCGTTCTTGGTGTTATGCCTAAGAACTCTTCAAGATCATGAAGATATTTTCCCAATGTTTTCTTCTAACAGGTTTTATAGTTTTAGCAGTCATATTTAAGCCAATAATCCATTTCGAGTTAATTTTTGCAGGTAGTGTGAGGCAAGGTTCTAAATTATTTTTCATATGGATATCCAATTATCTCAGCCATTTTTTTAAAAATGTAGTTTGAATTATATAGCACTATCTTATTTGAAAAATTTCTGCCAATAATTTCAATTAGAATAAAACTTTTTAAGTGCAATCATTGGGTATTGATTTTTTATGAATAGCATTAGAAGTGGGTACATTTTGTTTTCAGAGATTGGGGGATTGTTTTGCAAAGAAAATCAGAGGTGCACACTGTAGTGTGTTTTGTCAGCCACCCCTGCCAAAGGGGTGACATCTTTGTGCTTTCTCTGACTCTACTTCTACTTCTTACTCTAAGCAAAATGACAGATTTCACAACTATTTTTTCATACTACTTTATAATATCTTCATTATTCCACTCTAGTGTAACTAAAATCTGCATTATTGAAGAACAAGAGCTATCATTATATTCTCACATTTCTTAAATAAATGAAGACAGAATTCAGAATAATATTAGAGAAGTTTACTCCAAGTAACACATACTATCTTGGATATGATTTCTACTTACTAAACACTATTCCAATGACATTTATATGGTCTGCAAGTTAGTGTACTAGGAGGTAATAAATCACATGCAGTTGAGGATGTCCAAGACCGTTTCTGGAGTTGGCTTTAGGCACATTTTTATCACCTGGACCCATAGGGTGTGCAGGTGATGATACTTCCAGGAACATGGATGCAGACAGCTAACCATTATTCTGGATTCTCAGTTGATGCCAGAGGATGCCAGAGATCAGTGAGGCATCATTTGTTAGGCCTGTCTCCACTTAATTATTCAGTCTATATGAACTTAACTTGATCTTCAAACCAATACTTTCCCAAGTCCGTTTGTAATTTTCTTTAGAAGCAGGTAAATGAAGCAAGGAGTTTCTGCTGGCACAGGCCCTGTGCCTGGGTATGGTGAAACTTTTATATCTCTCTTGCCTTCTGGAGCCCCATAGTCACACAGGTGAATGAGTATAATTCAAGAATATAGAATTCTTCAGTTAATGAAGAGTTAGAGGAGTCCTGGAAGATCATCAGGTGTTCTTTAAAAGAGTATTTAGGTTCCCTCATCATATCACTGTCACATTGTTCTCTTAAGATACCAGTGAAATAAAAAGAGAAGCAAGTTCATAATGAAGTTTTATCTCCGATGCTCAAAAAAGAAATAGAAAGGCAAGACATTTCAGCTAAAGGTTTCTGTTCTGTTTTCAATAGTGCCTGCTGACTACCCCCCGTGGCTGACTATGGAATCACAGCCTCTTAAAGGCATCTTTTACTGATAAACAGTTTTTTGATGTGACTGTTTTTTAAAACAGAAATTTACTTCTCTTGCGTATAAGTCCAGAAGCTGATTTGGCAGCTCCAGTGTCACCAGGGACCAGGCTTTTATCTTTCTGATCCATTATCTTCATGTGAAATTCCATTCTCAAGATGATTTCAAAGTCCAAAGTGATTGCTGCAGCTCCTGCCTTTATATGCACATTCCAGGTGGTATAAAGAAGCAAAGGAAAAATACATAAGAACATCCCTCCAAACTAAGTCACCTTTAAGCAGAATTTCCTACAAACTCGCACATTTTCTTCTCTTACATCACCTTGGCTAGAACTTGTTGTTCCTCCAGGTTAACTGAGGCATTGGCAAATGAAAATTGCATATATTTAAGGTGTACAATGTGTTGTATGATATGCATATATATATATACACACATATACATATTTATATACATGTCACTATCAAGCAAAATAACACATCCATTGCCTCACATAGTTACCATTTGTATGTGTATGTATGTATGTATGTGTGTATATGTATGCATGTGTGTATGTGATGACAACATTTAAGATCTACTGTCTTTGCAAATTTCAATCATAGAAGACAGTATTATTAACTATTGTCACTATGCTGCATATTAAACCTCCAGAACCTATGCATCTGGCATAACTGAAACTTTGTACCCTTTTACCTACCATTGATCTAGCAATCTCACTCTTGATATATATCCAAAGGAAATGAAATCAGATATCTGTACTTCCATGTTTATTGCAGAATCATTCACAACAGCCAGGATATGGAAAAAATCTAAGTGTTCACATACACGTATAAGTACATATAGGAATTTTATTCCTATACATGCAAAGGAATATTATTCAGCCTTAAAGAAGAAAATCTTTCCAATTGCAATGACATGGATGAACCTGAAGGGCATTATGCTAAGTGAAATAAACCTAGTCACAGAAAGACAAACACTGTCTTGTCTCACATACATGTGAAATCTAAAAAAGTCAAACCCAGAGTACCAGGAAATACAATGGGGGTTTCCAGGGACTAGGGGATGGGACAAATAGGGAGATGTTGGTCAAAATGTATGAAGTTCCAGATGGTTCTCATTTGATAGGAAAATGGATATCCAGTCCTTTGCCATCAGATTATTACAGATAGATCAAAAGAGTCATGGCATTTTTCTGACTGAGGCAAACACAATAAAATTTCAGGAGCCAGGACCCGATAACCCTCCTGTAATATCCATGCAGAATGCAAGGGTATTGTTTCATACAAGTTTGAAATAGGATGAATTAGCAGAGAGAGCAGGGAGAGGCCACTGAGTTTTACGTTTAGCATCCAGTCAGGTGCAATTTATATTCTTCATAGTAATACAATGATTATGCCCTTGAGACCATCACTTCATTCAAACAAACCTGAAAGACATTGAGCTGCATGGTTTCCACAGACCTAGTTCTTGGAAATATTTTATTAATTTCCTCATCTGGCTCAAGTTTATGTCACAGAACAGGCAAACAATACAAGGCCATGTCACAGCAATCATTTGCAAGCTGCTGCTTTTTATCCATTGTCTTGCTACACCACATCTTGTTGATAGTGCTCATTCACCTGACCTCAAATACCATCTGCTCAGAGAGTCTGTCCCTGAGGACCATACCTTATGGCCTCCTGGCTGCCTTCACACCCATAACACGTGGACTTCACTCTCCGTAATGCCCTCTTTTTCTTTCCTTCACTTCATTACAAACTAAATTATCTTTACTTGCTTGCTAATGCGTTGCCTACTCTCTAACACCCACCCACACCCAACAGAAGATCAGCTCCAGGAAGACACCTGTCTGTCCCACCACCCTCTCTTTAGTGCCTAACTCTGTGCTGGTCTGCACTAGGGGATCAAAACATATTTGTGAGATGAATAAATAAAAGCTTAAAAATTCAATAGCTATGTGTAAAACTCTTTTTCTTGTGCAATAAATTTTACTAGACAGCTATTTTTGCTGGTGTTGCTCTTTTTTTCCTGTTTAAATTTGTTTAGGCCAGGCGTGGTAGTGCATGCCTGTAATCCCAGCACATTGGGAGGCTGAGGCAGGAGGATCACTTGAGCCCAGGAGTTTGAGTCTGTGGTGGGCAGTCACTGCACCACTGCACTCCAGCCTGAGCTACAGAGTGAGCCATTACCTAAAAAAAAATTATTTTATTAATTTTTTATTGATGCCACATCTTGTTGCCACATCTTATGCATTTATTGATGCATAATAGATATACATAGTTTGGAGTACATGTGATAATTTAATGCATTCATATAATTTGTTAAAATCAAATCAGTGTACTTGGGATATCTATCACATTATACATTTGACTTTTCTTTAAGCTATAATTATTTCAATTCTTCCAGCTATTTTGAAAAATGCAATAGATTATTGCAAACCATAGTCATCCCACTGATCTGTCTACCACTCAGTCTTATTTCTTCTCTCAAACTGCATATTTCTACCCATTAATGATCTTTTAAAGAGAAGTCTGGCATTCCCAGTTATAAAAAGACAATCTGATTCTTGGCCTGAGCTGACAGCTCTTGTTGAAGCATGCTCATTCTGGGTCTTTTATTCATTTATTGGTGAATGACCAACAGAGGCTCTGACCGGTGTTCAGTGTACCTTTTGTAAATTCTGAGCAGAAAATAAATTGTATGAATAAGGCATTTCTTTTTCTGTTCACTTATAAAATCTTTTCTTTTTCATTGTACTTTAGGTTCTGGGGTACATGTGCAGGTCATGCAGGATTGTTGCATAGGTATAAGATCTGTATCAATAGTTGGTATGATACACGGGATTTAAATTGTACATGTAGTCCTACAATTCTAAATGAGCACTTCCACTCCTCGTTCACTGCCTTTAAGAGTTTTTCTTTCTCCTACAGACCCAGCGAACTCAGCCCCATCCATCCTGGATGGGTTTGACCATCGCAAAGCCATGGCTGGGCAGCTTGTGGAGCTGCCTTGCAAAGCACTTGGGCACCCTGAGCCAGATTACCGCTGGCTGAAGGACAACATGCCCCTGGAACTTTCAGGGAGGTTCCAGAAGACCGTGACGGGGCTGCTCATTGAGAACACTCGCCCCTCGGATTCAGGCAGCTATGTGTGTGAAGTGTCCAACAGATATGGAACTGCTAAGGTGATAGGCCGCCTGTACGTGAAACGTAAGTTGGACGGTAACTTGCAAAGGTGGTGTTGGCTTCCATCAATGGAGCTCCTGTTATAAGCGAATCTCCATGCTGTCTCTGTAGCTTTCCATGGACTTCCAAAACAGCCCAGCTGAGATCAACAGAAACCCCATTTTGCAGATGTAAAAATTAATGCTCAAATGAGTTGCCCAAGTTTACACCACTGGAGAGTTTTCAGTGTCTGATTTGATTTGAAGCCTGTGATTTACATTAGGCCACAGACTATTACTTTTCCAAGATACAATTTCAAGATAACACTACCTAGCTGATGAATTCACAATGGCCAGTCTCTCTAAAAATGGACAAAGAGAGGGGACAGGATTGCTCTTTCAGCACAGGTGATGGTAGCCAATCAAAGCAGTTGTCTTTTGTCTGTTTCCAGACCATTTCTGCTTTACATTTCTAAATGAGGTTATTATCAGCAAAAGCATCAAACATAGCAAAATATTAGACTTGTGCCTAGTATTATAGATCATCTGCTCCAAATATAATGGGTATATTTGATCTTCCATTGATTGCCTTGGCTGTCTCGAATGTGTTAAGAAGGATACTGAAAGCAGATTTGGAGGAAGAGGGGGATGTGATTGCAAGGGCACGATCTAATCTACTCAAACACCCTCAATTTTACTGATGCAGAAACCAAATTAAAGTGATTACCCAAGATCACATGGCCAGAAAAGGGGGGCAGAGCCTTAGTCAGAGAGGTCTTAGTTGCCAATGTAATGCTCCTTTTAAAACAGATATTTATATTTGATGAGATAAATTGAACAAGTTTAACCACAAGAATCTCACACTGAAAATAGGAGGGTTTTTTAACTCTTTTTCCCCCAGGCCCATTCCTGTTTATGGAACTTTCTCTTCAGTGTCAACCCAAGTGTAGACTGCCTTAGCACAATACTAGCCTAAGAGAATACGTTGACGTTAACTATCCGAATGACTATCTGGAACAGGCTGTCCAGCCTGAGTCCTGCTAATATTTGAATATGTGTAGGCTGGGATGAGAAAGAAATGGATGATAAAATCCACAATTACACTTCTATAGCTGGAGAATCATGTGGATAAAATATTGCAGCATTGGACCATCAGTAAGACTTATTCCCACAGGCTCAAAGTCTCTTCTATGTTAAAAGACCTCTGCTGGCTGCCTGTTCTCGATTGAATAAAGTTTATGTCTTAGGATAGTACTGAAGGCATCTCAAGCAAATCTGTTTGGTCATATCTCCCATTGTTTTGCATTAAAATGCATTTATGCCTAGTGTTCCATTATTGAAGTGCTAAGCACGTGGGAGTTATTTACATCTTACGCCTCAAGGTCATAGCCAAGGTCTTATTACAAAAATTCAAAATCTTGCAACCTCAGGCATAAGTGGATTAATAAAAACCTATTCCTGCTAAATCTAACTTCTTTCGAATTCCTCCATAAACCCATTCCTTTCTTGATTGCAAGTCATATTCCTCATGTTGCTTCCTCCACACAGGAGATTATTTCCTAATCCTTGGATATCTAGCACTTTCCATCTCTCTTAGCCTCCATCTGCAAAGACATGTTGTTGCCCATTCTCCTCCTGTCTCCTACTAAACTCAGAGTGTGTTACTGCTCTCTCTCTAAAGGTGCTTATCACTATCTATATTTTAAAAGTCTCAATTCTTAATGTGCTTGTTTTTGTCACTGTTCTTTCCACATTTGACTGATTCTCAAATGCTTCTGGAATGTTCTCTGTCTCCCTTCTGACTGCTTCTTCTAACTGCAGAAGAAAACAGCTTCTTCATTCCTGTCTCTCTTCTCTAATGGAAAGCATTCTCTTGGGCTCCAAATTCAGAACTGTCTTCTTGTCAAGCTCCTCTTTTCCTTAAGCTCTGTTTCATTTGTAGAGCTTCGAATTCCTCGCGTCTGAAAATAGGCTCTGAATTTGTACTTGTAGCCTTGGCTTCCTTCCTGAGTGTCAGACAAGTGTGTCAACCAGCTTTCTTTCAGAAATTTAGCTGGCACTTCAAAACAACAGTGTCGGATACCATACTGAACTCTCCACCAGCCCTTTCTTCCAAATGGCTCGTTATTATTACCAATATCTTCCTCCCTCTCATCCCTCAAATGCAAACTTGAAATCGTGCATGCTCTTTAAGCCATGCCTTTCTACCAAGTCCTGCCAAGTCATACAAACTGAATCTCACAGAGTTATTCAGGTCTGTTCTCAACCTCTGTCCTGCCCTAGATGGGTCTTAATTGTATCTACACTAGACATGTGTAATATCTTCAGTGACCAATTTTCCTTACTGTAATTTTTCAAAAGACCTATGGCCTATTGATTCCATTAAAAGTATGTTTGTGCTGGGTGTGATGGCTTGTGTCTGTAGTCCCAGATACTCAGGAGGCTGAGATAGAAAGGAGGAGTTTCAGAATACAGAGAGCTATGACTGCATCCCTGCACTCCAGCCTAGGTGACAGAGCAATGCCCCATTTCTGGAAAAAAAAAGAAAAAAGATTTATTTGCTAAACATTCTTGAATGCCTTCTTTAGTTACCTTCGTTTAATCCCAAAATCTCAGGGACTCTCTGTTGCATCCAAACAGAATCAGAAACTATTTCTGAGACATCTCCCCACTCCCTGCCTTAATTCATGTGGTTCCCAATCTCTGTGATTCCCTCTTTCCTTTCTGGCTGGTCTCAGTTCTATTTATCTTTGGTATCTGTAGATTTCCCGCTTTCCCATGGACCCTCCTCCACATGTGTTCTGTCTCTCGTGGTCCCTGCATCACTCTGCTTGGTTATTACAGCCATTTATTGACTTTGTCTTATTACCTAGAAGACTGAGCTCTTTGAAAACAAAGATTTTACAGTGTGCTGAGATGGAAAGTTAGGAACAATTGGGGTAGAAAGCTTTCTTCCACCCGTTTTTTGATAGGGTTGTTTTTTTCTTGTACATTTGCTTAGGTTCCTTGTAGATTCTAGATATTAGACCTTAGTTAGATGGATAGATTTTTTTCTGCTTTCTGTAGGTTGCCTATTCACTCTGATGTTAGTTTCTTTTGCTGAGTAAAAGTTCTTTAATTAGCTCCCATTTGTCAGTTTTGGCTTCTGTTGCAATTGCTTTTGCTGTTTTAGCCATGAAGTCTTTGCCCATGTGTATGTCCTGAGTTGGGCATTGGCTGGGTTTTCTTCTAGGGCTTTTATGGTTGTAGGTTTTATGTTTAAGTCTTTAACCCATCTTGAGTTAATTTTTGTATAAAGTATAAACAAACCTGTATATTCAGCACATGTATCCCAGAACTTAAAGTGAAATAAAATAATAATAAAAGTAGGAGATTACCAGAATTGATTAAAAAGCAAATCTTAGCCATCTGCTATCTACAAGAGATGTTTGTTAAAGATGTATTTAAATGTCTTCTGGCCTCTGTTTGCTTCTGATAAGCAATCAGAGATCATTCAGATCTTCACTTACCTTTATATTTCCCTATATGTCATTTGCCATTTTTGCTGTCTGCTTTAAAGAATTTCCTTTCTTTTCAGTTTTCTGTAATTTGTGATATGACTAGACATGATTTTCATCAGATTTTTCCTGCTCAGCACTTTCTGACCTTTAAAAATAAATAAATATATGCCTTTCACAAAAAAATTATTTTCTGTCATTTACCTGTTGATTGGATTTGGCTGATTTACTTAGTCTCTCTGAGTAACCATTTTCTGTTTTGTACAGTAGAGATAACACAAAATTTGCAGGATTAGGAGAAGACTGACTTAAATGATGCATGAAAGGTAGTCAGTAATTTTGCAACACATACTAGTTGCACCACAAATATTATTCCATTTTGTCTTGCCTGTGAGTTTAACACCAGCCTTGGCACATAACAGTTGCTCAGTAAATGCTTTCTACATTGGATTAGGGTTTTTGAATTGAAAGCATAGGAAGACAAGAATGAGAGTTCCATCTTTGTCTAAATCCCTCAGCCTCATTTTAAAGAAAAACTCTGTTTCATCGTCACAAATTATAATACCAACCTGTTTTCTTTTTTTCACAACTGTGTGTTATTGGCCCTGGGTAAACCACATATGGCATATGAGTGAGTACACATGTGTGTGTGAATGGCCCAGGGCAAACCCGCCAGTTCTACATTGGGACAAGACAAAATAGGATTGATATGGTCAATACTTATGTCACTATTGGTAGCTAGCACATTGCATTTCTTATTGTCAGTGGATTTATATCAACATCCTCACATAGACTCAGTGAAAAGGCAGTTTGACCAACATTATTCCACTTGTTGCATAGAGAAATAAAGCCAGAAATAAAAAAAAAATAGCAAAGGGATTGTCCCTAAGCAAAATGTTACTCTGTGAAATAATATGGCTTATAGGAACTGAAAGGAGTGTGGTTGCAGTAATGCACTTGCTTTGTTGAAAGTCCAGCATGTTGTTGAAATGATACCTAGTGATGTTTTTACCTTTTTTTTCTCTCTCTCTCTCTCTTACCAAAATCTCCAGAGCCACTGAAAGCTACCATCAGTCCCAGGAAGGTTAAAAGCAGTGTGGGTAGCCAAGTTTCCTTGTCCTGCAGCGTGACAGGAACTGAGGACCAGGAACTCTCCTGGTACCGCAATGGTGAAATCCTCAACCCTGGAAAAAATGTGAGGATCACAGGGATCAACCACGAAAACCTTATAATGGATCACATGGTCAAAAGTGACGGGGGCGCATACCAGTGCTTTGTGCGCAAGGACAAGCTGTCCGCTCAAGACTATGTGCAGGTGGTCCTTGAAGGTCAGTGGGCCTCGTTATAGGGTACGGCTGAAAAAGAACCCAAACCCAGAGCACTCAGAAAAGAAGAAGACAGGGTGAAGCAGTGCTGATCACTCAGTCTAGGCTCTCTGTCTCACCAGCTAGTACTCTGCCCTGAGTTTTCAAGCTAAATCAGGCAAATGGGAGAGAATGTTCTGATGAGGATGAAATTGTTTCATATTAGAAGTAATGTAAAATAAATACATGTTGCCCACTCATGTCTTAGAAGTTATTTCCCAAGATTTAATTCTTAGAAACTTGACACTTAACAGTTTTGTTGACCATTCATATCTAGACCAGGGTCTTTCAGGAATGCCTTGCTTGGGGAACTTTCTTATGCTTTGTGGATATTTTGCAGTGTCTCTGGCCTCTTTCCACTAGATGCATGCGAATAGCAACTTCCTCCAAGTTGTTACAACCAAAATGTCTCCAGATATTGCCAGGTGCTCGCTGGGTAGGGTGGGGGCAGTAGCCTCTAGTGGAGAAGTACAACTTCAGAGTCAAAATGCAGAAGCAAATGTCAACACAGCGGTTGTTGCAGTGAGAAAATGGCATCTGGTTGGTGCAGTTGTCCCTAGTTCCATCCAAATGTTTACAGATTTAAGTCAATGAAATTTGTGAGGAATTAATTTGTGGTATAATAGCAGGTTTTAGATATGTGATACTGTTTGTTCTTTTTAACTGATTACTGCATACTAAATCTTCAAGCTTATTAGGCAGCCAGAGAAGGAAGCTATCACAGGCAATATATATTTATCACTACATGATTGAACTAGCTTCTATCTATGTATTTGTGTGTGTTGTTGGAAATTATGTCTTTATATGTAATTTAATATTTATCTGTTATCAATTGATTAAAATAAAATGATTTTGATATAGCCTAAAGGGAGAACAAACAAAACAAAACACATTAATATATGAAAATAAGTTTAAATATATCTTCAATCTAAGACCATATTTCTGTTATTCTTCTTTAACCATAGCCATTTTTTTAAGAAGTAGCAGGCTTAGCAATGAGATTCCTATTCTGATTGCAGACAGTGTGATTTTTAAAGCAGTGGTGATATTAGCTGAAGGCATGGTATTTACATTAAATGCCTGACACTGTGTTCCACATAATAATTAAGTGCAGAAAGTAGTCAATTTGTGCAGAACCAGTTTGCTAATGATGATGCACTCTAGTCCTTATACAGTTATATTTTTAGATTCTTTGTAGAAAAAGGGGATATTACCTGTCTAGGCCCAGTTACCTCGGCAACCATTTTGTGTGACTAAGAAAACCTAAAGACCATATCGATAATCCATAATGATGTCAGAAGAGTTCAGGTTATCAAAGTGACAGCAAGAAAGATTTCAAGGACACTCAGGTCTCCCTAGAAAAATAATGTCTGCTTTCATCTCCAAAAGAGCCTGTCACTTGAACTAAAAAGGGTGCTGAGGAGCACAGCCAGCACACTCACGGATTTATTTGCTGCATGTCAGCTTCCATTCGGGACAAGAAGCTTCACTTTATTTTTTTCTCTTCTGAGAGATGACAGTGCTAATGTAGCAAAAGAAAGCAGAAATGGAATTACAACTACACATCTAGTACCTGCTTTTAAAGGGCATCCAGCTAGTTTCCTCTGGAAAATAAAGATACTCCTATTGTTCTCACTGAAATAGTGATAGATTCAAGTAAAATTATAAAAAATTGCAATACTGTGAACTAGGACTGACCATTAATATAATGGAAAATCTGGGAGTATTTCCTGAGTGATTCCTAAAAAATTGAATTTAATAGTTATAGATTCAGAATGAAACCTTAGTACCTGGTAAACAGAATGATTTTTAAAAAAAGAATAATAAGAGTTTTCAGTTTTGGGAATGGTGAAATAGCATGTATCAGACTAACTCCAAAGCTGATAAAAATGAGAAATTTTGGGAAAAGCAAAAGTATATGTAAACCCTTGAGAGACATTAAAAGCAAATTGTGGAGTGTCCTCTTCCACTGAGGATACATGTGAACTGCAAAAGTGTGGGAGGGAATACAAGCATGCAATACAAAATAATTAGACATTCAAAAAAACAGAACTCTGCCACCAAAGGACAAAGGACAAGCGATAGAAACAAATCATGAGAGGACCCAGACATTAGAACTGGCAGACAAGGACTTTGCAGTGATTTAAAATATGTTCAGTAACTTAAAGGAAAATATGGACTGAAGGACTGAACATATGGGAAAGACCAACAGAGAGATGGAAACTATAGAAAAGAATCAATAGAAATGAAAAGTAAATCACCGTATTCACTTTAATGTAAGATTAGAGAAGGAAGAAGAAAGTATCAGTGAGCTTGAAGATCAATCTTAGAAAATTATCCAATCTGAAGCATGGAGAGAAAGAAGACCACAAAGAAAATGGTTAGGGCTTTGGCAACAAGTGGGACATCATCAGATGGCCTGACATACATGTATGACTAGAGGCCCAGAAAAATAGGAGATAGGGAAAACGGAAGAAAAAAGTATTTAAAGAGATGATGGCATTAGTTTTAGCAACTTTGGTGTAAAAGTAAGACTGCAGATCTAAGAAACTCAGCAAACTCCAAAAATAAATGCAAAGAACATTCTACGTCAGTACATCAGAGTTAAGCTGCTGAAAACCAAAGATAAAGAGAAAACCTAAAAATCTGAGGGAGAAAAAATATTACATAAAGGGGACATCAATAACAACTGGTGGATGATTCATCAGATATTTTGGAGGACAGGAGACAATGAAGCACCATCTTTAAAATGTTGAAAAGAAAATGAAAAACAAAGACACAAGCCCTGCCAATATAGACTTTTTTTTTTTTTTTTTTTTTTTTTCCAGACAACCTGGCTCTGTCACCAGGCTGGAGTGCAGTGGTGTGATCTTGGCTTACTGCAACTTCCACCTCCCAGGTTCAGGTGATTCTCCTGCCTCAGCCTCCCAAGTAGCTGGGACTACAGGTGTGCGCCACCATGCCCAGCTAATTTTTGTATTTTTAGTAGAGACAAGGATTTCCCATGTTGGCCAGAATGGTATTGATCTCTTGACCTCGTGATCCACCCTCCTTGGCCTCCCAAAGTGCTGGGATACAGGTGTGAGCCACAGCACCTGACTGCCAACATAGACTTCTATAGCAAAAAAAAAAAAAAAAAAAAAAAAGCCAGCAACAGAAGGCTTTAAAAATTAAGGCAAAGTAAAGATATTTTTAGTAATAAAAAAGTGCAAGAATATGATGTCAGCAGACTTGCACATTAATAAATGATAAATGAAGTCATGCAGGGTGTAGAAAATGGACACATATCTGTAGGATATAGGTAAAGTGGAACAGAAATGAAACATAAAATGGAAACATATCCATAGAAATAAATACCATGAGAAATAGTAAATATACTAGTAAATATTTAGCAAAATTGTGTTTTCCTTTTTAATTTCTTTAAACAATTGACAGTTATTGCATTGTAAAATTACAACACTTGGCCATGTGTGATGGCTCACGCCTGTAATCCCAGCATTGTAGGAAGCTAAGATGGGCAGCTTACTTAAGATCAGGAGTTTGAGACCAGTCTGGCCAACATGGCAAATCCCACCTCTACTAAAAATACAAAAATTAGCCAGGTGTGGTGGCAAGTGTGGTGGCATGTGTCTGTAATTTCAGCTATAAGCAGAGGCAGAAAAACAGCTTGAGCCCAAGAAGCAAAGGTTGCAGTGAGCTAAGATCATGCCACTGCACTCCAGCCTCAGCAACAGAGTGAGACTCCATCGCTAAAAATAAAATAAAAATAATAAAATTACAACACTTTATTATAGAGTTAATAAAATAAATAGATATAATAAAGTGCAGAGTTATTTGTTGCAAGGTTCTTACACTTCACATAAAGCACTGCAATTTTAACTTTTAATAGACATAACTTAAAATGTATACACACAGATAGATATACTTATAGATCTGTGTGTGTGTGTGTGTGTGTGTGTGTGTTGTGCGTGTATGTGTGTATTAATCAATTGGAGCTTATCTTGTAAATGCAAGATTGGAAGAACATTAAAAATCTAATCCATGTAAGTCACTTTATTAAAGAGAGCAGATTCAACTGATTATCTCAATATATACAGAAAAGATCATTTGATGAAATTCAGCATCCATTCAGCATAAAGAATCTCTAGCAAATTAGAGACTCTGGGGATCTTCCTTGACCTGATAAGTGGCATCTATGAACAGTCTACTGCTAAATTATACTTACTGGTTAAACACTAAATGTTTTTCATTTAAGATTGAGACCAAGGCAAGAACACCGACATCCAACACTTCTGTTTAACATTATACTAGTAGCCCTACTCAGGCTTGAGTAGAAATAAAATGCATGGAGTTTGGATAGGAAAAATTTCAGCTGTCTTAATTACAGATGTTGTTGTTTACAAAGAATATCCCAAGAAAACGATAAAGTAATTTCTATAAGCGAGTTTAAAAAGTTAATGGCTATAAGAATAATATACAAAATGCAATTTTATTTCTATATACTCAGAACAAACAATTGGAAACTAATATCTTGAAACTTTCATTTTCAATAACATAAAACATAGGAATATGTTTTAAACAAATGTAAAAGATTTCAACATATAAAAATACAAAACTCTGCTAATATAAAATTGAAATAACCTAAAAAATTGAAAAGATATATCATATTCAAGAATTAGAAAGCTAACTCTTAAGTTAATAATTCTCTCTAAAAGGATTAATTTCAAGCAAAGCCAGGGCATGGTGGCTTCTGCCTGTAATCCTAGTACTTTTGGAGCCTGAGGCAGGGGGGATCCCTGTAGCCCAGAAGTTTGAGACCAGCCTGGGAAAAATGGCAAAACTTTGTCTCTAAAAAAAAAAAAAAAAGTAGGCGTACTGGTGTGCACCTGCACTCCCAGCTACATGGGAGATTGTGCCACGCCAAGGATAACAGAGGGAGACGCTGTCTCAAAAAAAATTTAAAAACACACACATGCATGCTTATGTACCTTTTCAACAAATTAACACTAAAACAACTAAATAAATGTGTGTGGCAGAAAATGAGTACTAATTCCTACATATCACACTTCATATCCACACAAAATTAATCTGATATACATACAGAGTTGAATGTAAAATATAAAGCAATAAAGTCTCTAAAAGTAAACATGGAATAATTCTTCATGATTTGCGAATAGGTAATGATCTCTTAGGACAAAACAAGCATTAAACGTCCACACAAACACCTTAAGAAAAGAGAAAGGCAACCAGAAACTGGGAGAAAATATTTTATGCACACACAAATATATGTGCTATATATATGTTGAGATATATTATATATAATCTCTATAGGATATGTGACAAATATATCTGATTGTTATATCTGACATAGATACTATATATATATATATATTTCCTTGTCTTTCACTTACATAAAGATTTCCATTTGTTGTCTTCCACAACAAATCTAGAACAAAAAGGCAAACAGTCTGATATAAGAAGGGGCAGAAGAGTTGAGCAGACACTCACTAAAGGAAACACACGATGACCAATAGGCATGTAAAACATGTGGCTTCTGTGGTGTTTCTGGGAAAAACATACAGCCTGCATTTAATCATGAAGAAATATGAGACAAACCCAATTTCAGCAGCTGGCTACAAAATTGCTCTTCAAAAATATAAAAGTCAAGAAACACAAAAGAGACTGAAGAATGTTCCAGATGAAAAGAGACTGAAATGACATGAGAAATAAATAATGGGTGATACTGACTGTACTGGAAAAAATAGTGATGAGGGATATTAGTGGTCATCAACAGAACTGTGCTGGGCTCTGTGTTAGATAATAGTGCTGTTCCAAAGTTACATCTTCTAATTACACTCTAAGTGTACTCTGGTTATGATGGAGTATATGCACATATAAAGAGTGCATACTTTATTATTGTGTTTCTTCAAAGCTCAAGCACAGACAAAACCAGCACATCGTAACAGGAATCAGAGCAGTGATATATGTTGGATGGGGATTTATTGAAAGCAGCCCTTAGGGAATTTTGGTGATGTAAATGTTTCATATCTTGATCGCTTTGGTGGTTACTCAGGTGTATATATATTTAGCAAAACTAAGCTGTACACTTAAGATCTATATATTTCACTGTATGTAAAATTTGCCTACAAAAAAAGAAGTATGACTGAAGAACACTTTCCTAAACACTTGAGTTTTCAGAGCTTAATGTAAAAACCAGTGAAAAGAAATTTACAGCTAAACCCATTTTACAAAAAACATGGCGTTATAAAGGACACATGAAATAACTCCAGTACTCCTAAGCATTAGTGACTGACCATGGACAATGAATAGCAGTCATGATGACATCTAACTTCTCTGTAAAATTAAGCACAGGACATGATGAGGTAATGTCTGCAGTGCATAAAAGACAAAAGCCCAGATATTTCATTTTAATATTTTAAAGTTTTCATTTTCATCTCTGATAGTAAGAGACAAAACGCTTACAACCCAAGGATGCTGCAATATGCTACTTAGGAGCACATCTGGGAGAAAACACACTCCAGGGCCTTCTCCAGCAACCTGAAACATGAGCTGTAATGCAGAAGCGAGATTCACGAATTTGAGAGGGAACAGAGGGTGGAGGGGTGGAGGGAAGAGCTGTAGCACAGCCCCCCCACCGTGAAGACCCTACATAACTGACCTCCCCAGCCAAACACTAGGCCAAGTTTCTGGGAGAATGAGTGACACTTTCCTCAGAGGTGTTTGAAACTATTGACCGTTAACTGTCATCTTTCCCCGATGGAATTGTAAGCTATCCTAAATTTTGCTTGCCTCCTTTCTTTTTGTCTGTACTTTCCAATTTTTAACAACAACGATAAGAATGAAGATATATTATTTTTATAATAAAAATTAAAAACAAGAAAACAATAGTAATTCTTTCATTATGGGACAACCCTTTAATTGAACATAAAAATTCTTTTAAAAAACAAAAAATGTCCCCTCCAGCAAGGTCTCTTACCAGACTCAGAAATCCTGTGGCATGTGATTGCAATTATGTCAAAATGACCCACTTATGCCTAGAAAAAATGTGTCACAATGTTGATTTGTGTGCCTGAGGCTGGCTGACCTATTGGTAACTTTTCTTCTGATTTTCATATATTTCCTTTAATATGCATGTATTTCTTTTTATAAATGAAAAAGCATATAAAAAAGAAACATGCATTTGTAATTATTACTGTATAATAAGAGAAAAAATCCATATGCGTGATAGAAAAATAATGGAATATGAAAATTTGATGTATGTAAACATACTGAATATTTCTATGGAGGCTTCTCTAAAACTAAGGTCCTAGTTTGCCTGTGACAGTTCTGGGTCATGTCTGTTCTGTTGGCATAATTATTAGTCATATCAGTTTCAGTCTCAAAAGTCTCCCAGGTTGGATGATAAATTATATGGCCAGCCTACTTAAGATATTTTGAGAGACATTTAAAACATGCTTAAGTACCCTACTTCAGATATCTTTAGAGGTTTTTAATAAGTGGCATTTAAAACAAACTTTATTTAGCTTCTACCCATTCTCAGAGACTTCCTGGAAGTTTGCATGTAATTACCATCAGTGATTAAAGCTATAAAAGAGGACTTTTTATGAGAAAATGATGAGGATGAGATCATCAGTCTCTTGCTAGTTCCCTTTATTCCTGTAAACAATTCTGTAGTGAGGAAACTGCGAACAAGTTGAGGGAAATATTAGGTTGATGCAAAAGTAATTGCTGTTTTTTTTTTCCCCATTTATTTATTTTATTGCATTTTAGGTTTTGGGGTACATGTGAAGAACATGCAAAATTGTTGCATAGGAACACACATGGCAGTGTGATTTGCTGCCTTCCTCCCCATCACCTACATCTGGCATTTCTCCCC